ATATAGCAGATCCAGGAGAAATAATGATCGGTGTTCCATGCTGGTGAGCTTCATGAGGACCAGTAAACTTATGCACTTACCAGAAGTGCATAAATAGTGCACATGTATATGTTGAATCTTTTAAAGGGTCATCTGGGTTTGGGCAGGGACTGCGAGGTCATCAAGCACAACATGGACTCACAGGATGGTACTGCTTACACACAGGTCAGACTCTGCTCATATCACCTCCAAAGACAGCTCCAAGACATCAGCCAGTATATAGTTCCAGACACAGGAATTTCCACCTTAAGGGGGCTCGTAAACAATGAGCCAAAGAAAGATGGATGCCAATAGTGTAGTATTTTATTGATGATTTAGGCAGAAATCTAGTAAAAAGTGCTTTGTAAACTCACATGAGATTTTGGGTGTAAAAAGATGGCCGCCGGCCTTCCTCGTGGCCATGTGCGGCGTGACGTCACTCTGGTTGGCTCCTCCCTGATGCGTTTCATGCACCAGCATGTTCTCAAAGGGATGAGCCTACCCAGAGGACGCCAGAACTTAAATAACCGACCGCGCATGCGCGGGTGCGCGCTGTAACAGGCCAACGCGCATGCGCTAGCAGGACGAACCGGGAGGAGGGACACTATGTCACCCTGCTCTCCAGGCGCAGCACAGAGCGTGTGCGCGAGTAGGACGAGCTGGAAGGGAAGATGCTACATCACCAGCTCACTGGGTAGTATAAAACAGCCACTGAAATCCCCAAGAAATAAAGCTTAAAAAGCAGAAAATTAACAAGGTGATGTATTGATTGGGGACAAATCAGAGTCCCAAGAGTTATGAGTTGTCTAAAAACATTTGGTCAAAAGTGTGGTAGAGGAAAGAAATCTATGGGGATAATACACTATTAGCCACCATATTATTGAAGACCAGCAGTATTGTAACTGCTGACATATATTGTTGACAAATAAAACCACACAATACGGCGTCCATTGTTCTGGAGGCCATTTAACTGTATGACAGTTATAAACACATAGAAAGTTTCTCTTGGACAACAAATATTAGTACATATTTAAATGGATAAAAAATGTATTAAATATGATATGGATAATGCATATGAAAATGCATGTAAATGTGTAAAAACTGGATTTTTTGCGACTGGATGTATACATTAAAAACAATGATTATACATAAATAACAATAATAACAATAGGTATATATTAATGCACAATCAAAAAATAGCTAAAAATAGACCAATATATCATACTAAAATGAAATTGTAAATATGAAAATGCAAAAGTGTAAAAAAAATATATAAAAATATATATAAATATACTCATCAGAGAAGATAAAAGGTTCATAAGACACATAAGTTGATAAATATGGCAAGGTGAAGAGAAAGTCAAATCTAGAGCAACTAAATGGTAAAAAGAGCAAAAAATTAAAAGGAATAGGATAGTACTAAAAATGGAGAGGGTAATGGTCAACTATTGTCAATAAAACAATTTACATCTAAATCAATGTTGAGGCCGTATGGAGACAAGGATTTTAATTCTATAATGCACCTTGTTTCCAGTTGTGATATGGCCCTCCTTTTGTGCCCCCCTCTCCACTGTGGCTTAATAAGATTGATCCCTGTAAATGTCAAAAGGGTGGGAACTCTACCATGATATTCTCTGAAGTGTTTGTAGAGCGAATATTCTTTATATCCCTTCCTGATATTGTAATAGTGCTCTCTAAGCCTGTCTCTTACTCTCCTTGTAGTTCTACCAACATACTGTTTATTACAAGGGCATTCTAGTAGATAAACTACATGAGTACTATTGCACGTGATAAGTGGGTTAATCTTATAGGTCTTCCCTGTAATATTAGATTTGAAGTCTATAACTTTTTTCTTGCGGGAACCATTATACTGACAGGCTAGACACCTATTACATGGAAAGAAGCCCTTCAATCCAAACGCTGATGAAAGGTTACTTGGTGGGTCCACCACTTTAGGTGCCAATGTGTGTCTCAGAGAGGGAGCCTTATGAAAAGTAATTTCTGGGCGATCGGGTAAAAACTCACTCAGAATTGGATCATTCTTAAGAATTGCCCAATTCTTTTTGATAATTTTTAACTACATCTTTATATTGGGTAGAAAAAATTTGTAATGAATGGACAGATACGTTCAGACTTGATTTTTTTTCTCTGACGTGAGTAAATTAGTTCTATCTAAGGCTCCAACCTCTTCAATAGTATTATTAAGGGAATCTATGCTATAGGTTTTTTTTTTTTAAATCTGGTTTTAAGAATGTACGCTTGTTGGTGATAGTCAGTTAAATTAGCACAGTTCCTCCGTAGTCTAAGAAAATGTCCTTTTGGAATGTTGTTTAGCCACACCGGATGGTGGCAACTACCCGTGAGTAAAAAACTATTCCTATCAGTGCTCTTAAAATAGGTTTTGGTGATAATGTTAGCACCGTAATTATAGAAAACTAAGTCAAGGAAATTGGTCTCTTTAAAATCGTACTGAAAAGATAATTTAATGTTAAGATCATTGAAATTAAGAGTGGTAAAAAAAATGTACAAGTGAGAACTCATCACCTTGCCATAAAAGGAAAATGTCATCTATCTACCGGCGGTAAAATATAAGGGAGGCCCAATCACGAGAATATATAAGGTCTTCCTCCCACCCTGACATGAATAAGTTTGCCAAGCTGGGAGCAAACTTAGCTCCCATCGCAACTCCGGTAATCTGAAGATAAAAAGTATGGTCAAACCAGAAGTAGTTGCGATGCATGGAAAAATTGAGTAGCTCTAAAATATATATGGTTCGCTATATCCATGGCCATGTCAAAGTAAAATTTCACTGCCTCCATCCCGTCTTTATGTTTGATAGTGCTGTAAAGAGCAGAGACGTCTGCCGATACTAGATATGTCTTATTGGTAGTCTTAAAATCCTTCAGGTCAGTAAGTATTTACTTTGTATCTCTCAAATACGGGGTGTTGAATTAACCAATGGTTGAAGGAAAAAATCGATATAGTCACAGATGCGAGAACAAAGTGAACCAATACCACTAATGATTAGTCTTCCAGAGGGACAGACAGGATCCTTATGGATCTTGGGGAGGCAGTATAAAACCGGTAATCTTGGAGCTGCTGGACACAAAAAAGCTTTTTCTTTTTTATTTAACAATCCTTCATCAAATCCATTCTTAATCAATTTCTTGAGTTCTTTTTTATATGGGATTAGGAGATTTTTTGAGAGTGGTTTATATGTATCTGTGTCATCTAAGATTTTATGGACCTGGATCATATAGTCCTTTTTGTCCATTACCACAACCCCACCACCTTTATCCGCCGGGCGGATAACCAATTCTTTATTGGACAGAAGTGATTTGATGCCTTTATTAATCAGATGTTGATTGTTCCAGTCTCTAACTTGTATCTTCTCTAAATCATTTAAAACCATGTTTTTAAAAATATTGATATGTGAATGTGCAGGGGGATTGAATAGTGAGGCATTCTTTAGATTGGAGGCTTTAATGCCTCCGCTAGTACCATTATTCAAATCTCGTGTCAGAGGAGTGTTCAGAAAGTATCTCTTAAGGGCTAATTTACCCAGTAAGCTGGTGACGTAGCATCTTCCCTTCCAGCTCGTCCTATTTGTGCACGCACTCTGCACTGCTCCCGGAGAGCAGGATGACGTAGTGTCCCTCCTCCCGGTTTGCCCCGCTCGCGCATGCATGTTGGCCCATTACGGCGCGCGCCCACGGATGCACGGTCGGTTATTTAGGTTCTAGCATCCTCTGGGTAGGCTCATCCCTTTGAGAACGTGCTGGTGCACGAAACGCGTCAGTAGGAGCCTACCAGAGTGACATCATGCCGTACACCGCCACGAGGAAGGCCAGCTGCCATCTTTTTACACTCAAAATCTCATGTGATTTTACAAAGCACTTTTTACTGGATTTCTGCCTAAATCATCAATAAAATACTACACTATTGGCATCCATCTGTCTTTGGCTCATAGCAGGACACAGGGGGGAGCTGAAGATTAGTCAGCACTGAACCAGAGCAGAGACCCTCTTTAAATAGCCCGTCTGGCGCCAATCTTTGCTGTGCGTGTGCACGTGTGCGTGCATGTGCGCAATCACGCATTCCTGCGCGCATGCGCATAACCGGCAGCTCTTCTGCGGAATCTCTTTCACTCATGCGCGTTCCCGATCGCGATTCTCTTTGCCGGAAATCCCTTACATCCTCCCCTCAGGAAATGGTACTCACTGAGAGGGTTGACAACTTTTAAAAAAAATGTAGAAACTTCACATAGGCTGAAGTAGATTGACATGTATCTCTTTTCAATCTTGTAAGCTAAATTGTAAATTAAGTCACAGCATAATGAGTACAAAGTGTCCATTTGCATACTTGTTCTCAGTGACTCAAATTATTTGAGCCAAAAAAATCAGGCAACTAGTATTTGCAGGATAAGAGATTTGCTTTAAGATAGTCTATGATTCTTTCAAGAAAGTTTCTTTTAAGGTTTCAAAAATAAGTTTGATTTTAACATGAATATTTTCAAATAATACAAGTGTCACGGAAGTGTAGGCAGGACAGAACATACAGAGAAGATGGGGAACACACACAAAGCTTTATTGAAACAACAAAATGACAGACACTCAATGGGGAAATGGCAGGGAGTATGATGTGTGCGCAAACTAGGGACGATTCCAGGCACGGGGGGTCTTCTCCGGCAGGGTGGCTTGTGTGGTCTTCCCCCCCTTTGGACTGGGGTCTTCGGCAACAGGCGAACAATCTCCCCCCTAGGCTTGGGGGTCCCAGGCAGAGACTGATCACGAGGGTCCCAACTCAGCTGAGCTCCCTCCGTGACTGCACAGCGGATTGGAGACTTGGGCAACAGGCGGGCAACCTACCCCTGGGCAGGGGTCTCGGGGACTCAACAGGACTCTAGTTGTGAAGTCTGGCCTAGCACAGCTCCCACCCAGCTTTCTAGGGACATCGGGTTCACGGGGCCTCAACGGGTAGAGATGGCTCAAGCACTCAGGGGCATCACAGATAGCTATACTCCGGTCACTCCATGGGGTGGTAGTCTAGGCGTGTAGTAGGGCAGTTCATGACCGGGTGGTCCTGTGCGCACAAGAGGGAAAGCTCAGGACATAAGTAGTCAGTGCACACAGCAGGGACAGTTCAAAACACGGGTGGTCGGTGCACACAGCAGGGACAGTTCAAAACACGGGTGGTCGCTGCACACAGCAGAGACAGTTCAGGACACGGGTGGTCGGTGCACACAGCATGGGCAGTTCAAAACATGGATTGTCGGTGCGCACAGCAGGGACAGTTCAGGACACGGGTAGTCTGTGCGCACAACAGGGACAGCTCAGGACACGGGTAGTCTGTGCACACAGCAGGGACAGTTCAAAACACGGGTGGTCGGTGCACACAGCAGGGACAGTTCAAAACACAGGTGATCGGTGCACACAGCAGGGACAGTTCAAAACACGGGTGGTTGGTGCGCACAGCAGAGACAGTTCAGGACACGGGTAGTCTGTGTGCACAACAAGTCTGTGTGCACAACAGGGACAGTTCAGGACATGGGTAGTCTGTGCACACAACAGGGACAGTTCATGGCTTCTAGGGACACTCACGGTAGGCGACTTGCAGACGCTCAGCAGCAGGGCCCTCACAGAGGCCAGCTTCTCCAGGGGCCCAGAGATCAGAAGGCAGGGGCCTTCACAATGGCCGGCTTCTCCAGGGGCCCAGCGACCTACAGGCAGGGGCCCTCACAGTGGCCAGCTTCTCCAGGGGCCCAGCAATCAGCAGCAGGGGCCCTCACAGTGGCCAGCTTCTCCAGGGGCCCAGCAATCAGAAGGCAGGGGCCCTCACAGCGGCCGGCTTCTCCAGGGCCCAGTGACCAGCAGGCAGGGGCCCTCACAGTGGCCAGGAACAGTAGCGGGGGTAGCATGGCCGCGGGGTCTGACCTTGGAAGAGGGGGCTCATGCAGAGCTGCGGAGACTCCCACCCTGGGACATTCAGCGGAGGGAGCAAGATGATTCCAGCAGTGTGAACAAAGGAAAAAGAGAAAGGCTGCTTCCTGTGCCAGTCTTTTTAAAAGCCATGTGGGATGCTGCAGGGTTGCCTCGGCAACAGCCCACCCAGCACCATTCATGGAAACTTACAAGGACAGAGGAATGTGCAAGGGGGGGGTGGAGGGATATGGCTGAGTCACAGCAGGCAAAGGAGGGTGGGGGAGGCATGGGCACCCCGTGACAACAAGTATGTAGGAATAAGCTTCATATTAAGGTCAAATTCATGGATCTTCCCAATTTATTGGAATCGAATGGACAGATTCTGCCAGTTGACCTGCTTGCCCAAACCTACGGTTGCTGCATGTGGAAGTTATTCATTATAGCTGTCATATTGGTGGACTCCATGCCATTTGTTTTGTTTTTTGGGTGGGTCTTAAAAATCCCATCTAGGATAAAGGTCCAATATGTTTTAGAAGGGAGAGGTGTATGTTCACTACCCTTTCCTTTTCTAGCCACCCAAGTTCCATGCCACAGGATGTTGTCTGATGTTACTGACCACATATGGTCATGACCTCAAATCTCATGGCCAAAAAAAAAAAAAAAAATGACAAGAGTTGTCAATCTTAGACTTCAATGGGGTTGTTCATCATTTGTGGATATTTAGGCTTGGTTTGAACACCCTTCCTCAAACTAAATCCAGGTCAGTTCATTCATCACTGCCAATAAATTAGATGACCTATGCATGCAATTAAGAACTACACTTAAAAATAAGCTCCAGACAAAAAAATATTTTTATTTTGTATGAAGCAGGAATGGTTTATAGCCTGTCAGGTTATTATTGCCATCTGTGTCCCTACGTAGTAGATTTTCTTTAACTTTCTGTCAGGACAGGAAGTGATGGTGAGATCTTTTCACCTAGGAGCATACAAAAATAAAAACACATTTTTAATAGAGCAGGGAAAGGTTGAAACTACTGTTTTGTTTGTTCTCTGTCTTCTGGTCCCATTGAAAACTGTAGCATTCGTTTCTCACTGGGAGGTCAGGGTCACACGGTCAGGAAGTGTCCCAGATGAAACAGAAAGAAATAAAAATAATGACAGAAAAATGTTAACCCCTATTCACTCTATTCAAAATTAAAACATAGAAAAGCAACATGTATGGGCCTATTGTAATCTTCTGCCTGTTAACACTAATAATCAGATAGGGTCATCAGTGTAAGCCAATCAGGGCTCCCTTGCTTTAAAAATTAACTAGAGTAGTCATTATCCATATAGACACCATCAAATGGACAAATATCAATAGCATGATTGTAGATGGGAAAGGGTGCTGAATTGTACACATGAAAGATGCCCTGAACAATAAAAATAAGGATGGCATGTATGTGGAGCTCTGATTTCAGATACTGTATTATGGTTTTTGCTTATGGTTCTGCTTTTGGTAGTTAAAGTAGACCTTCGGCCAAACATTGTACAATTTAGTATAAAGAGCTAAAAGGGTCAGTCATGATGTTAAATACTATGTGGGGAATTTCGAGCATGGCCTATGTAAAGTGTGCTAACCATTGCCCACTATATTCAAACTAAAAAAGTTTATTTTGAACAGTAATTAAAAAAATATTGTGTTGGCAAGCAACAATTTAAAATAAACCATATAAACTTAGAACATCAGTTCAAACGTTTGAAGCTAAGGAAATGGAAATTCAGAAATGCTTTGTTGTGTTTATGCTGTAGTCAATGCATAATCGCAGACACACATTCTTTACAATTAATCTATGAGTAAAGAAATAAAACATTGTCATAACTTAACTCTTATATAGGAATATAGTCCTGCCCCAGGATCTCTTGTAATAACTATCTATAAACTCCAGTGACTCTTGTAATAAATATGTATAAAACCATACGTGGTAGCATGGTATTACTTGAACACATAATACTCAAGTTAGTGAGTATCAAATTGGGAGAATGTCCACTGATTCATCATAAACAGTCAAGGTTGGCTAGCTGGATATGCACTAAATTGAGCATTATGTGTTCAGGTATTACCAAGTTACCACGTATGGTTTATACAAGAGATGAATGAGGTTTTCTATTTCTGTGTGATGTGTGAACAGACATATCATTTTAATATGTATGATTACCTCTTTAACTATGATGTAAATAAAATTATTATATTTTAATTTGTGTAATGTGAACAGATGTATTGTTTTAATATATATTATGACTTTTTTTTTACTATGAAACAAATTATTATATGTTGCTTATATTATATTAATACATTATTAATATTATTATATCTTAAATTATTCAGTTGTGTACCCTGCCTTTTTTACTTTTAGTAATATATATATATATATATATATATATATATGTGTGTGTGTGTGTGTGTATAAAATTTAGTATGTGGTACCTATAATTACTCAAGCCTTATTTTACCTAAATGCTGTTAACTCTTATATATGAATCACAGAAATGCATTCATTAAAAAAAATCCTTAGTAATAAATAAATACAAAAAAAAAATAAAAAAGACAACATATTTTGCATTTTTTTACTTCTCATAGGAATTAAATCTTTCAAATTATTTAATTAGTGTAGAAATAAAAAGGGCCACAACTTAATATTTATATGGTGCTGTTTTTGAAAGTGAATAGTGTTTTTTTTTCTACTGGTCCATGGGCCTTTTTTTCAGTATAGTGAAAGACTTGGTGCATTCAGTGAATACTATTATTTGAACATTCCTCGGATAGTGCCTAAAATAAGCAATTGTTTCCTTTGAACTAATAAAAAGCTTGCTGTATCATATTCCAGAGGTCAAGATTCTGACATTTCCATATATGTTTCAGAAGCTGAAATTCTCAAGCTACCTCTGGGATTTTAGATCTTTCACTAAAAGATTAGCCAATTTATTATAATCAATTAAAATAGTTCAAGTCATAAATGTACTATATAACTGATATGAAATATAATGTAAAATATATAGCAGTACGTTCTGCAGTAAACATGAACAACACATTTTATTTATCGAAATTATAGTTTGTAAATGTTAACTCAATAATCAAACCCTCATAAAGCCTTAAAACAGTAGTGTAATTTCAAAAGTAATTTTTTGGGTCACAGTACTATATTCCTATCTCTTACTTGTTTTCTGCATTGGCAGCCATCACACAAGCTTCCAGTGAAGACTACCAGTAGTCTTTTAAGGACAAATTACGAAGGCACGGTCTACTGTTGTTGCCATTAGGAAATCAGCTAATGGTGGAGTTTAAACAGAAAGTGGTTGCAAAGATGCTGCAGGAATTCATCTGCACTAAGATGCAACAAGAGATAATGGTAAAAGCAAGTGTTTTCTTTCTAAAAATGGCAATTGTTTACAATAGGCATCAAACTGGAGTTTACATCTACTTTAAAAATCACTGTCATCTGGGAAGATTTTGAAAAGATATATTTAAGATGTCTTTAAATCAACCTTGGATTACTTGTTGGAATGCTGGAGAATGTACCCCTTTTCTGACCTGAGGTCAAACATTTGGTCACAGACTAACTTTAGCAGTGTTTGTATGCTTTAGTTAACTTGGCAATAGCTCTGTGACTTGGTTGGCTTTCTAAATAAATACATTTAATTACATATAGGGGGAATGTATTAATACTGGAGCAGAAAGAATCTAGAGCAGCTGTGCATGGCAACCAACCAACTTCTATTTTGAAAATGAAAGCTAGAAGCTGATTGGTGGTTCCAGATTTTGATTGTTCCAGTTTTGATACATTCCCATCATAGAGCATTTTGTTGTACACATTTTTTAAAAAAAATGCTCTGAAATGTATTTTTTATAGCCAACAAATGGATAAAAATGTAAAGAAAATATAATTTTACCATTTTGGTAATACAAAGAAACAAGTGCTATCTCCAGGGTGGCGTGGTCTCCACAAGCTGTCACAATGTTCACATCAGCATGATTCCTGATAATTAGTAAAAAACATAGTGGTCTGGCTGTTAGAAAACAAGCACTTGTGCATGCCCCCAACTGTCAAGCTGGTAACTCAGATTAACCCTACTTCAGCATAGGACATTATTCTGAGGAAGAATATTCTACAGATTACATTCAGGAAGGGGTAAACAAGATGGCATTTCAGGTTTTTTCAGATAAACTTACCCTTTAACAATTCATTTAGTCAATGCTAGAATGGAACTGCTGGACCTGGGCATATAGAGTCATCATTGTAAAATCTAAGTTAAAAACAGCCCAGGCATATGATACACACCAGTCTGCCTTAATTTACCTGATCAAAGACAATATTTTTTCATATTTCGACTGATGCAAAATCAGTATGATACTGGGGTAAGGGAATACTTTCACGGAGTGCTTGCTCCTCTTCTGCCCACCCCCCCCCTGGTGCTTGTGTCTTCTCTGTGTCCACTCACCCTCTCCCTCATCCTG